GTCACTAAATGAACAGTTGTTAAGTCGAGGAGTACCTGTAACCAGGTAGCCAAAGTGAAGCCCTGGTGTGGTTCTAGCTGCCTCATACTGCACCAAGGTGGTCTCGGGTGGGGTGGACAAAGGAAAGACCCTACCGAAATTCACCTGCCCCCTTTCTCCTTGCTCGTCCCACTCGCCAAAGTCCGGTCAGCTATAGAGAGGAGGCATCTGTTAGAGGTGGTAACCTTATCTAGCCCCCAACCCACCCAGGACGCAGAGCTGGGAGATGCACAGGATCTTGCTACCACCATATGCTTGGTTTTTTTTGGGGGGGTGGGCTTCTCATTTCCACCCCACCCACCCATCCCGTTTCGGTATCGCATCCTCTTCCTCTCCTTTCTTGACCGGCTGGCTTCTTGGGTGTCCCAATTTCCTTGGTTTGGGTGTTGCCCTCCGAGAAAAAGGTGACCCGGGCAGTTGGCCGTGTGCTCGGATGACAGTGTCGGCCTCCGCACCGTCGGCCAAGCAGAACCCCCGGCCACCTGTGACGAGTGACGAGTGTCAAGAGCCCTTCTCGGTTGCTCCCTCTCTCTCTCTCTCTCTCTCTCTCTCTCTTTCCCCCCCACCCCGAGTCGTCGGTGCACACAAAGAGATTTTGCAACCGCGAACATTCCCGGCTCCCGGGATTGCGACGCTGGTCTCTTTCCCTCCCAAAGAGAATCAGCCACCCTTCCGGATGCGCCGGCTTTCGTAAGATCGCTGCCCATGGGACTTGCGGCTGGCGGGGTGGGGTGGGGGGGCCTACCCACTGTTCTTGGCCCGTTGCGCCACCTCCCCCAGCCGTCCCGCACAGCCGGCACGTAAGCGGAGGCGCCGCGCGTCACTTGCCTTCCCTGCAACTTGGGCCCTTGGGCGGCTGCGTCCGAAAGCCCCACGGGGCAAACCGGAGGCCAGAGAGGAGCACACAGGGGTGCCTCTCTCGGCCCTTAAACCCTAAGGCGCTCTCCCGAATGAACCTGAGCCTGCTTGCGTTCTGGTTGTCCAAGGCAGGGGTGAGGCCGGCCCTGGAGCTTCTGTTCTCCTCCTGCTGTCCCTCCTCCCAGGTGTGCTTTTCAGGTGTGTGTGGGGGGTGGGGGGTGGAAATCCCTTCTGATCCTTTGCAAAAACAACCCCCCGAAACCCAGGCTGCCCCCATGGAGAATCGCCATGTGTTGGT